TTTGAGGTATTACTGTATTTTTTGCAAGTGGGCGATTCTAGACCTCTTAGAATGTAGCAGTGGCAGTGACACTGGCAGTGCCTAATCTTAAGACGGCACAGCATAATTTCTTTTCGATTGGAAATTCTGGTACTAGTGAGCCATTTATTGCAATTATATTTCACTTCTTTCAGCTTACATTCTTTGATTTTCTAATCTTTTTCCCACTCTGCCAGTTGTTTTTTCTTTATTTGGTGAACCTATTCTTCTAAATTAATTAATATTTTAATCTAGTCACCGACAATTTTTATCCACTTCCGTATGGTCAGCTTTTTCATTCCCTAAAATTCCGTAATGAGTTGGTACTCATACAAAGACTACTGATATTCCTTTATTTTTTACCTCCCACCAAATTTTAATCATTTCTCTAATTATAGAGTTTCTAGGATATAGGCAGCTAAAACACTGTTTGAGTCTGTCACAACTACCCAGTTCTTACATATCGCAGGAATATATATAAACATATTGCATAATTCTTAGACAAATACAAATGATGATGAGTCACAGCAATGTTTACTAAAGTAATTTATACACAACTATAATTGCATGTTCTGTAAATGTTATTATTTTGTGAATATAGGACAGAAAATAGTTTAAACATATGGTAAATTTTATTGTAAATATGGAAGGACATTTTATTTTTATATTATTTGATATTTTCACTTCTAAAGAACACACCGCACTTTTTTTTCGATTTAGCTTATATTTTATTATTTCAATATGATATTTATTTATTATCTTTTTTTATCCTTTTTTTTAAAGACATTTAACTGGAATCTAGAGCAACAACAAGTTTTTGTCTAAAAAAATGGAAAATATAATGTTCTTTATTACACTTACCTATAGGTGAATAATTCATAACAATTTAACTAATAAGAGGACACTGACTTTCATAAAAGTACGATAAGCTAAAATTGAAATGAGTTACACGATAATAATACATTTAACAAATAAAGATCAAATGTAGGATTTATTATTAAGATATGTATAGAAATATTTTAGTTACATTCAATCCTCTGATTCAAGATTTTCAAAATCAACCAATTGATATATTAAATTAAAAATCTGAATTTAAATTTAATTGTTTCCATCTGTTCAGTACGACTTGTAATGGACTCAAGGGATAAATTTGAATTTATTCAGGTTTTTAAATTTTTTTTTTTTTTGAGCTCCTCATCATCTCCTTTTAGGCTATACGGGGGTTTTCTCAGGCCAAGGGGTGAGGGCGGGGAATTAATGTCTGATTTAAAAGCCCTCCCTGACACTGGAACGCTGTTGATTAGGTTGCCGGGTAAAGCGGTGTTGTGCACATGTGTTATCTCGCTCGCTTTATTTAGTTTGAAATAGGTGTACATATTCTATATAATATGTGTATATATAATGTGTGGTAATCGTCCTTTCTACCCAAGTTCGAGTACACAATACTTATAACGCTCTCTCCTCTTCTCTCTCCAAAATAAAATAATCGCTTCTAACGTTTCTCTAAATAATGCACGAAACCGTGCGTCAACTTTCTTGCCAAGACTGCATTGATTTTAGATTTATTATGGATTTTTCAAAATTTCAACGCCATATTCTTTTTCTTTCAACGACTGAACTCTTTTATATTCTTCGGATAAGAATTAAATCCTTCTTTCATTTAAATAAGAACCAGTAAATAAAAACTTTATAATTAAACGATAACAAACCCTCTACTTAACAAAATTATAAGATTTTTAAATTAAATAAGGTTCGGAAGTAATCTTCCATAATCCAAGTCCAAAACCATTAAGCTAGCACTTCATGTACCCTACTTCTCTAGAGTTCAGAATTATATTCAAAGCTCCAAGGATTAGACGAGTTTAAATTTTCGGTTCCTTTTAATCTCTCTCAAGCCTTTCTTTCCTCTCTTATCCCGTCGTCTCTTTCCCTCTTCTAATTTTATTTTCTTATCCAATATCTTAAAAAACTATTTTTAAGAATATTATCGAGCCGGGGGAAAATGTATTAATATTTTATGAAGGTCAAGCAGTCTCAGGAGACAAATGGTAAGATAGTCATAATTTAAATAGTTAATATAATTACTTAATAATATCTGTAAATATTTTGTTAATGCCAGTAATATATTACAAAATTATATTATATTACAATTATACTGTTATAATAAATAATAAATTAATATATTTTTAACTCTCCCCTGTCTCAATGCAATACGGCTATTTGCAGCTGTGTGATATTACTGTTACAATGCAAATTCTTTTATTTAACCTTTAAATAAACGAAAACGTTTTTCTTAATAATTTTTGTTTTAATTTATTAAGCTTAAGGTAGTTTCAGCTACAAAGGGATCGAATACTTTCCCTTAACACACGTTTATTTTGTGGAAAAATGTTAAGTAGTAGATACAAAAGGTTTTAGTAAAATAAACTTGTTGAGTATTACACTGTCACTTACCTTAAAACACAACCTTGTCTAACCCAACATTTCACCGAAGAACTTTACAAAACACATTTAAGAAAAAAGACTTAACCTAAGCAGTCCAAGAGTATAAACACCAATAAAATGAAATTAACATGGACAGTAATGACAAAATAACATAATTAATGATCAACCTAACAGAAACTTATTATGAAACAGAACAATTATCACGAACATTCTTTAAATAACTAGGAAATACTTAATCGAAAGCTATAAGCAATCATACAATAAACCTCGGATAACCTCCTTCATTCACTGTAATCAATAATTTAATATAAATTATAATAGAAACTGTGTTATAATTATAATCACTTTTTTTCGGTTGGCACTACTGACCATGAAGATCTATGGCCGCGAGATGTGGTCTCCTTACAGACGCTTGTTGCTTGCGGGAGCTCAGATGGCCTGGAGGGGGTCACCCAATCTCACGTTGCTACGAACCATGGTCTGCATGGTGGAGCGACAGGCCACCCGTAGTTCCATAGCCGATCCCTTTAGGGCCAATCTGTCAGTGTCCTTCCCACCGACTCACTCGGGTTCAAGGACAGTGACAAATCGGACAAGATCCATGGATTATGGCTGTTCGGAGTCAGCAGGCGCACGAGGACCTATATTTCTTTCCCCGAAACAGACCGTCCATGGACCGAGCCTCAGGGGAATTACTAACATCCTGGTAGACCACATCCCGATTCCTGATTAAGAACACGGGGTAGGGTCATCAGTCCTACGCCCGGTCGGTGTGAGTTGCCTCCAGTAGGCTGACGGGTCTCACATACCGGGGGGGGGGAGAGACTCGGGCAGCTTGGCATTCCCTGGTGGACGGTCACCCATCCAACGTTGCTTAACATTGATTACCTATTGCAACCGCCTTAGCCCTGTGTGGGCGGGGTAGCCGAATAGGCTAACGCGTGTGCACTGCACCGTCGTTGCCCGGCAACTTGATATATAAGACTTGGATAAAAAAATAGTCACGAGTTCGCGTCCCGGTGGCCGGAGGAGTTTTTAAATCCCCGCCCACACTCCCTGGCCCGGGAAAACCCCGTATAGCCTTAAAGGCGAGGAAGGGGAGGACAAAAAAAAAAAAAAAAAAAAAAATAAAACCGCCTTAGCCCGTACGGCTACCCCAGCCCCCAATTATAATCATAAGTTGCTATAATAAAAAATTGGAGATTTTTGAGAGCAAAAAATGTTCCGTTAACTAGGAATCATTTACTATACAACGTTTTTCACCTTTTTCTTAAACATAACACCCCTGATTTTTACTCCATTTAGTTAAGTAGTTTTGAAAACAATTAAATGTTTTCATTTTATTTTCACTATGAAATCATGGAAATCACATGAAAACTGATTTCACTAACTTAAAAAAAAAATACAACGGAGTTAAAATAATTTTTATATTATGTGACGAATGAAAGTAATTTTCGAAATCTTAATTTTATTCCCATCACCTTAATACCGATTAAAATATCGAGGGCTTAAAATAATAATCTCAAAACTTCGTTTTGAAATGAAGCTTGTATTAAAATAAATTTGGCATTAGAACATGCCATTAGGGAGGTAATGCGTACCGAGTTGGATCTGGGCGGGACAACATCCGTGCTGAGCTATGCGAATGGTCTGGTACTGTTAAGCGAAGATGTGGGAACTATAAAACTAAATACGACAACTTAATGAATGCCAGTAAAGAACTAGGACTCGAAATAAACGTGGATAAAACAAAATAAATGGTTAGCTGCAAAAATGGCGATACTACTGGTGACATCGATATTGATGGTAATATGTTTGAACTGGTAGAGAAATTTAGATATCTAGGTTCTACGATAACTAGAAAAAACGAAATTGAAGAAGAAATTAAGGTTAGACTGAAGGCGGGAAATGCTTGTTATTTTTCTGTGACAAAACTACTTAGCTCGCGCCTCTTGTCCCGAAACTTAAAAATTAGAATCTATAAAATCATTGTCATACCTACAGTTCTTTATGGTTGCGAAACGTGGTCGCTTACCTTAAGGGATGTTCAACGACTTAAGGTTTTTGAAAACAAAGTATTGCGTAGAATATTCGGACCGAAGAAGGATAAATTAACCGGAGAATTCAGACGGTTACACAATGCCGAATTGCGTGAACTATATCCGAGTAATATAATTGAGGTGATATCACTCCAGCGTATCAAATGGGCCTGTAAAATTGTTGGGCTTAGTAACGAGAGAATTCCTAAAAGGTTAATATTTGCTGTACCTAATGGTAAACGTCCGAGGGGCAGACCGAAGCGAAGTTGGGAAGATTGCATTAAAGCCGATCTGAAGGGACTAGGTTTGGACGGCGAACGGTGGAGGGAGTTGTGTAATGAGCGATTGATGGTGTCGGCATCGAACCTTCGGGTTCGCTATGCCTTTTATTATTATTATTATTAAAATAAAGAATACAATAAAAAAATGTTTTCTCTAATTTTTCAGTTTTCACGGGCATTGAAGATAGAAGAATTCATAGAATGTCCGAAGATAAGAATGAATACGATTGAAAATGTAACACTCGCCATGTTGGGGAGAGGAAAGTACGTCATGAATTTAGTTTTTAAGGTAACGAAGACCATCACAGGAGGAAAGGTAATAAGAGGTAACTGTGATAATCATATAATAGAAATAAAGAATATATTAATTAATTGTAATTGGATAATTAACAGCTTTGGGTAACGTTGAATAAGTGCAAGACGACATCGGTTGGTGATTGCGAATACGTATTGACGTACCATTTGGAGTACTGCAGCATGCTCAGCGCTAAAGGACCCTGGAGTGGATTTTTGGAAGCATCGCGTCCAAGATTCAAATGTCCTATGAAACCGGTAAATATATCATTGCAGTGTAGGCTATATTTATATTTTAAAAGATTCAATTTTTATTGTTGTATACCACCTATAGTTATACTCTATCTATTGTCTTTTATCTACTCTGTAGCTGTCTTCTATATATAGTTGTATACCATCTTCAAAAAAATATCTTAGTTGTCAAGACTTCTCCAGCCATTCCTACAATCCTCCCCGGAGGTTAACACGGCAGTTGCCTCGCGACCTTTTGTAAATATGTATATATTGGAGTACTCCAGATTCTCCACTCAAGTCCTAAGCGTCTGTTGCTCTAGTGCCCTCCATCAGTCTCCACTGGTTTGCAATACCAGTGACGCAGCTGGGTGAGAAGCACGGGGATCTCCTAGGGTCCTGCCTTGACTTCCACATTTGGGTGACAAGGCATGACTCGGAATCCCCTGGGCGAATGTTAATATTGTATATAGGTGTGAATGTGTTTTATATATTTCGATTTCATTTAGTTTCTCTCTATTTTTTTATATTTTTTATCTTTATTTTTTATTCCTATGTATGTTAATTTCCATATTTTACACTCCACAACTCTTTTTCTTTTATCTCTATTTTAGTTATCATTTGTATATATATATATATATATATATATATATATATATATATTGTGTGAATGTTTAATGTAGCCCTAATATTAATGCCCTCCAATGCGGCAGAATGTATTAATTTTCTAATAATAACAAAAAAATAGAAAAAAAAAAGAAAAGTTTTCAACCCATTTTACTATTGTTTTTTCGCAATATTGCAAACGACGGAAAATCACTTATTTGTTAATAATTATTCTTCTATATTTTATATAATCATTAAAAAAAAAAAAATATATATATATATATATATATATATATATATATATATATATATATATATATATATATATGTTGGGGCCAGGGGTACTTCAAAATCGAAGTACAGATCTTTCCCCGGTGCGTTTCCTCAATGGTGGGAAAATTCGAGAAAAATTAAAAAAACGTTGGGAAAGAAGGAGAAAAAAAATTAGTAAATAATGAGACCTGTAAAACATTAGAGAAAAAAACAAATGCATGCAAAGAAAATATTAAAAAATAGAAATATTCAATAAATCAAATAATGGAAAAATGAAAATCCCCTTTTGAATGCTCACAATTTATTGAGATAAAAAAAATCTAATTATGTACAAGAGTTAAATAAATATTGGTGTAAAATTGCGATAAAATAAAACATAATTATAATATGCAGAGAAAATAAACCAAATTAACCATTAATAGCCAAATATAAATAAAACCAACTTCTAAAATTATAGTAAACCAAGGGAAAAAAAATGTCTGTGGTAACGGTGAGAGAAGAATATCCCAAATTGGAGGCTATATTTCCAAAGAGGTTAGTTACCTGAAGTTCAGCTGTCGATGGTGGGGGGATCGATATGCATATCGATGTGCTGATCGATGACTCGCGATGATACAGCTGGGACCTTCAAAATGGCGCAGGTGAGGTGACAATGAGCCTGGAACTTGGTGAAAATGGTGGGGGTAGACTTCTGCTCCATACGAAAGGTAGCTCCAGACTGGCTTAAGACTGCATCCCGACAGTACTATGGCATTATTTGTGTCTTAATCCCTAAGACTGGGTATTACTGCCGGGCTGGTGTGTATACAAATGAGCGATAATACATCGCAAACGAAGGCAGATATAAACTATAATATAAACTTAATATTTTAGGGACAATATTCCCTGGCCTATTACAAAAAAATAATAAATATTCATTCCATTATTCACACTAAAAAGGGGTAATGGTGAGAAAAAATAATAATTAAAAAAAATAAAGAAATGAGCGTATGCGGCGTTAACATACCGCCCACCAAAATTTTATGAAATTTTTAGAGATCTCATTTAGGAGGTAGAGGAGATAGGAGGGAAAGGAACAAGAGGGGAGAGAGAACAGAAACTGAGAAACAATCCGCAGGATTGGAGTATATAGGATGGAGAGGTGAGGTTACGGAACTATTAACTCAAAACGCAGATGAGGTGAGGCATACGAGAAATACGGAACGAAGAGTGCAACAGCTATGGAAGTGAGTAAGGGAAGATAGGATGCGAATGGTTCACGAAAGAACTAACGAATCGAGATTTAACCTGTTAGTGTGGAATGCTACATAACCAGCCGCCCACCCTGACCAAACCAACGGGTACGCAAAACGAATTAAACGGTGGGAACGATTTTAGATCATATAGCGATATTTGACCGGTGAGGGGTCGACCATTAAAATAAGCGTTACGTGGTGTACCCTGACCAAACCAACGGGATCGACAAACGGACTTAAGGATGGAAGCGACTTTAGGTCACAATGTGGACTATGACCGGTGAGAGGATTGATAATCAAACGAATCGTTTCCATGCGGATGTATCGAACGGAACCAGTGCCTTTTGGACGAACTGTCCCTGGTGCGGTGTGAAGCGTCTTCCGGGTGGAGTGGTCGGTGAGACGGAGCATTCGGGGTGAGTATGCGGAGCTGTTGCACTATATAGAACAGTGGTGGTACGAGGTGTGTTAGCGATCGATAAGGCGATGTGACATTGCTACACGAGCTGGAGTGAGAGGATTTCGATGGTGAGAGTGCACAAACGAAGAGCGAGCAGAGGAAGATGACGTATTCGGGGTAGGTGCACTTTTCGAACTTGCATCATAACGACGTGGTGTGGATTTCGAACTGCGAGATTCGGTTTGCCGAGATTTCCGAGAGAAAAAGTGTAGGAGGGAGTGGTGCTTTTTATCACAGAGGCGGCAAGATACGCGAGAGGTGCACTTGTTCACAAAATGTCCGGAGGCCAAGCAATTAATGCAACGTTTAAGACCCTTTATACGGTCGCATCGTTGTTGCGGTGAGAGGTTTTTGAACCTCGAACAATCGTATACGCGGTGAGGTGCTTCGCAAATTGGGCATTTCGTCGAGCTGCGTAACGAATTGGTGGCCATCAAAACCTGCCTCGATGGTTTCTCACGTTTTGACTTGGGGTGCACTGTTTCGGAAGAGGTATTAACGAGAAGGGCCTCGGACTGCAATTTTTCGGCGTGCCTCTGAACGAAGTCCGCAAATTCATTCCATGTCGGAAGTTGAGTTTTAGAACCGCATTCCCACTCGAAGCCTTCCCTGGTTTTGGCATCCAACCGTCTAAGTGCCAAAGTGGTTAAAACGAAACCAGGAAGATCGTCTATCCCTAACTTGAGGAGTGCCGACGCGCTCTCCACAACGACCGACGAGAAGTTCTCCAACTTAGCGAGGTTACCCCCACTAAGCGGATCGAAATTCAAAATTCTCGTGAGGTAGAAGGTGGCTTGGATTCTCTTGCTATCATACCTTTTCTTGAGCGCGTCCCATGCTTGCGTATACCCTGAAGGGGATATAGAAATCGCGGAAATAACCTGCAACGCCGTACCCTTTAACGCGGTTTTCAAATGATGAAACTTTTCGACATTATCCAAATCATCCCTCTCGTGTACTAGTGATTTAAACGTTTCTTTAAAATCTTGCCAGCTCGCGATATCTCCGGAAAAATGTGGGATGCTAATTTCCGGCAATTGTGGAATCGAAAATACATCACCCATGACCTTATTCGTAGCGGATTTTTCAACATTCGATTTGGGTGCGTCCCGTTCAATTTTATTTTTAAGGGATAATGCCTCATAGAAAGAGTCGCTTACTTCCTCTTTTAACGTTATATATTTATCTCTCGAGACATTCAACCTCCTCGCGAGAGAATTACATTCTTTAAAAATAGTTTCGAACCGTTCATATGTTGCATAGATACGAGAAACGCGAGCCAAAAACAAAGATTTTCGCGAAGGATCGGTGGGTAGACTCAGCCCTACTATGGTGGTCGTCCTAAAATCACTGGCCAAGTCGTCTAATTGATCTTCGAGATCGGCCAACTTTGCTTCCTGTTCCTCATTTGAAATTTTTGGAGGCATGGTGAAGAATTAAAATAACGAGTAACGGACTACAAAACACGAATATAACACAAAAAAAATATTAACGAGAGAGAGAAAAAAAATTAAACGTAAACGGAGCGATTTGAAGAGGTTTCGAAAACGAGAGATAAATAAATTCACACGAAACAAATTAAAGAGAGAGAGAGAGAGAGAAAATTAAACGTGAACGGAGACTTAGAGAGATAACGAAAAACGAGAGATAATAAAAGTTGCACCAAACAAATTAAAAAACGAGAGAAAAGAAATAATTACACGTAAACAGAGAATTAGAGAGATTTCGAAAACGAGAGAAAAACAAATAACACTGTTTCCCAAAACGAATAATTTTACTCGAAAAAATAAAAATTTTGGGGAATAAAAAAAATCGGAGGACCAAAATAAAGCGCTGATCTATCCGGCCCGGATTGGACCAAAAGATGTTGGGGTCAGGGGTACTTCAAAATCGAAGTACAGATCTTTCCCCGGTGCGTTTCCTCAATTGTGGGAAAATTCGAGAAAAATTAAAAAACGTTGGGAAAGAAGGAGAAAAAAAATTAGTGAATAATGAGACCTGTAAAACATTAGAGAAAAAAAACAAATGCATGCAAAGAAAATATTAAAAAATAGAAATATTCAATAAATCAAATAATGGAAAAATGAAAATCCCCTTTTGAATGCTCACAATTTATTGAGATAAAAAAAATCTAATTATGTACAAGAGTTAAATAAATATTGGTGTAAAATTGCGATAAAATAAAACATAATTATAATATGCAGAGAAAATAAACCAAATTAACCATTAATAGCCAAATATAAATAAAACCAACTTCTAAAATTATAGTAAACCAAGGGAAAAAAAATGTCTGTGGTAACGGTGAGAGAAGAATATCCCAAATTGGAGGCTATATTTCCAAAGAGGTTAGTTACCTGAAGTTCAGCTGTCGATGGTGGGGGGATCGATATGCATATCGATGTGCTGATCGATGACTCGCGATGATACAGCTGGGACCTTCAAAATGGCGCAGG